TTTAGTCAACTCAAAGCGGAACGTCAGTAATCGTACCAGGGTTGGAGGTAACAGCATCCTCCATCTCTTGGTCGTCGTCCTTGGCGGAGATCTCAGAGGTAGCAGCACTGCAAGCCTCGAAAGTCAGTCGGTCGGCTTAATGGATCGACCAAGGATCCGTCCACGGTCGACAAAGGATAACAAGTCTTATTATTACCCAGAAATGGTGGGGACGGCCATCTTCATCTTGGGCAGAGCCTTGGGAGGCTTGGACGACGCTGCGCGCGGGTGCTTGGGAGCCTTTCCAGTCGGCGTAGGAGAAGAGGTCCGAGGGCGTTTCGACGACTGCCCAACAGGAGCAGTCGCACTACCACGCTCCCGCGATGGGTCATGTGTGAGCTTGGATCGCCCCTCCAGACAGGGGGGGGGGGGTTCAAACTCCTCCTCCTCCTCTTCGCTGGAGTCGACGTCGTCGCCTCCCTCTCCTTCACCGTCGAACTCCCACTTGCCTTGATCGTCCCCGCTCTCACCTCCGCTCGCCTCCCCTTCCTCAGTTGGCCCCTGTGCCCCATTGGGCGTCGAGTACATTTCAGTAGTCGCCTGAAAAACAACAGACAAGACAAAGGTCGATCGACCAACTCAAAGAAGACCAATGAAGAAAAACAAGACCTCAGTCAGGAGCATAGAGACATACTTGGTCCACGTCGTACGAGTTGTCGAGTGGAATTACCCTCCTGGCTCCTCGGGGGTTGTCCTTGTTTCCTGTGATGCTCGACAGCCACCCCTCCAGCATCTCATCAGTGACCTCCTCCGGGTGGATCCGAGTGGTGTCATCAAGACCCGAGTACAGCCACATCGGGTGGTCACGAGCCTGGAGCGGTTGGATGCGCCTCCGGAGGAAGACCTCCAGCAAATCCATGCCCGTCACGCCCTCACGGACAAGCTCAACCACTCGACCGGCCAGCACTTTGACTTGAGCCCTTTCCTCCGGCGCCACTTTCAGAGAAGCGGGGTTTTCAGCTCGGTCGAGGGAGAAAGGAGGAAGAGCAGTCGACTGTCCTGGGGTCGCCTGGTCCTGACAGTAGAACCAGGTCGCCTGCCAGCCACGGACCGACTCCGGGAAAGTAATGGATGGAAAACAGCTCTTCCCCCTCGTCTGGATCGCCAAGCCCCCGCACAACTGGATCACCTGCATCCTCTCGTCACTCGACTTGGCCTTCTTGACCGATTGAGAACGGCAGGTAAAGATGTGCTTGAAAAGTCCCCAATGGGGGCGGCAACCCAAGAAAGCCTCACACATGGAAATGAAAGCGGCAAGGTATACAATGGAGTTGGGAGTAAAGTGGTGGAGCTGCGCTCCGAAGAAGTTCAAGAAGCTCCGAAAAAAGGATGGGGCGGCAGAGAAAACCCTCGGTCGATGTGGGTGGCTAGGAGCACGCACTCACCATCGCGGGGTTGAGGTTCGATCTCTCTCCCCGGAAGACGCACAACCTCGTGGGGAATGACTCCCCCCTCGACCATGTCGTCGAGATCCTCTTGCCGGATCACTGACGGCATCCAATCGCCCTGGATCCAGCCCTTGGGCAGAGCGGACCTTGAGGAGGATCCGCCCCGAGCGGATCTTTTCCCCTTCCCCTGCGCCGCCGCCTTCTTCACGCGCTCCGGAGCGGAGGTCTTGCCCTTCGTCATCGTCGTCGGCGAAGTCTCGCACGGGCCTGCTGCGCCGGGGCGAGAACGGAGGTGGTGGAAGGACTTGCGAAGGGAGAGAGGAAGAAGAAAGGAGGAGAAGAGAGCGCACTGCTTGGAAACCCCGAGCCGGCGATTTATAAGGGGCCGCTCCCGAGTGGCTGACTGGTAGGCCCAAACTATCCAGTCAAATCCCGCAGCGGACGCGCGTGCGGTACGTGGCGAAAAAGGCGACGCGGGGATCGAGGAGCTTCCGCTTTATCGCTTCCGATTACTGCGGCCGCTCCCGTCCCGCACGCTTCCCAAAATCCGAAATCCCACGACATCCGCGGGCTGCAGAACAACTTGTCAAAACGGAAGACCCCGCCCGCGCCGACGCTCGGTATGTCACAAATAAAGAAATTCACTCGACGAAAGGCCTGGAATGGATCAAGGCGACTGAAAAAGGTTGGCAACGTCATCCGTGACGATTGACCCAAAACGAGGCACTCACGTAGCCCAAAGAACCAGTCGGAAAGATCTCCAACTCTTTCCCCACTCTAACCTCGATCCATTCGGGGGATAATGATGAAGCCATGTACCTAGGGTAGGGGCACGGACCCGTCCAAAAAGCCCTACCCTAGGACATCCCTAGAAGAAGTCACCTGTCAATCGACTTGAAGGTATCCCACTCGACGGATTCAAGACACTCGACCAAGAAGCTATCACTCGACCATGAAGCCAACCACTCGACCGCCAGGAGACCTAAAGTCACTCCGCAGGCAAACGGCCGGCTATCAAGTAGTCTTTATGGCCATTATAGCACTTTATTAGGGGCGTTACCAGTAACGCCCAACCTTAAATATACCTTAAGCCCTGCATTACTGAGGGCAGGAGGGGGCCGGCGAACTCTATATAAGCCACCCCCTCCTCAGTATGAAGGGTTCGCACCCCTGTTATTCACACGCCAGTAATCCAGTCGACCGCCTCCGGGCACCGAGACGTAGGGCTGTTATTTCCTCCGCGAAGGGCCTGAACTCGTACATCTTGGTGTGTTTACAACTTCTCAATAGCTGAGATCTAGCCTCTCCATACATACCCCCGTACATCACTGTCAGAGTTAGAACCACGACAGTGACATCGCGCATAACGCCAGCCACTGGCCGAACATCTAAAATCGTCGACCAGAAAAATAGACGGGAGACGCCGCAACCATAGACGCCATCGAGACGGGACTAGAGCCCGGGCATTATTCTTGGATGAGTCGTTGCCGTCACCGCCAAAAACAGCACCGCCACACACACTCTACTCACCGATGGCGAGCACACATATCCCCGAGCCACTCGACACCACCCGAAAAGACGCTGCCAAGATGGAGCCATGCCTGGGGAAAATTTATTCGACAAGACACCGTCGACTCCATGGATGCAACACTGCCAGACCTACCTATCCTAGACCTACCTACATGCTTGATGTGAAGATCCGGGGCTCCTCCATCCTCACGTTGTCGCACCGGCATACGGATGAAGGAGTCCACGGACATGCAGGCGGCGCACGGTTGGGCTGGACGTGCCCTTTTCTCTCCTCTTGGAACTGTTCTAGACGTATCCATTGTTCTTACGTTGATATCCAGCCCTAGCAAGGGGTTTCTTCTAATCTCGACAGAGACGAAAATGCTCTCTAATCCCAAGCTCACATAATATTAAAATTCAAAGCAATAATAAAATAATTCAAAATTTTCTCTTTTTTTGACAAACATTGATGAATGTTTGACCCGCGCGCAAAATTTCGTGATGAAATCTGGAGGTCTGAGAAAAACTATTGATACTCCAAGCATGTCATTTTGTCACCAAATTTTGCATGCATGTTAGAAATTCATCAATATTTATCACAAATAAATTCAGATTTTTTTTTAATTTAGGGGATCGGCTTTTTCATGTGATGTCCATTTGCATTTTTAATTTGGCGCACTTTCAACCTGCCAGCTCCAACTAGCATATCTAATATGTTCGAGAACTAGTTGGGTAGTGTCCATCCTAAGCTTAAGGGCAATTACATGTGGGTTGTCTGTACTTTACTTTGGGTAATATGGAATTGTAATGATTTTGTCTTTAACATGTCTGAGCTCGAAAAAAGCGTGGTTCATTTTGAGAGCTACCGGATGGATTCTTACACGCTACATCCTCCCTTCTTCTTGTAGAGGTCTGGGTGTTCATGTAGTTTTTTGGTGCAACTGATGGGACATAGCCAAATATGATCCGTTCGGTTTCAATGGCGATCCAATAATAATTTATGTGATTGTGTCATGTATAATCTCATGATGGCTCGAATATTCACCTACTTATCATCGTGCTTTTTGTATAACACTATGAATATTTGCTACATTTGATTATAATAATCATGATTGTGCATCGTCAATATGATGCAGAGGCTGAATAAAACTGTCCTTTTTGGAAAAAGAAATCACATTTTTTTAGAAAAGGAGGATTAACCCCGGCAGAATGATGCGTGCAGCCCCTTTATTTATTAAGCAAAGTATCCAAAAGTCTAAGATTCAGAACAAGCTCACTCAGAGCTGAAAAAATAATAAACAAAGTAAAAAAATGTCATAACCGACGAAAATATTTTAGCTAAAGCTCTTGTATGAACTATGTACAATTCTTTTTTTTATTCTATTCCGGAAGGCTTTTGTAATGTTGCTTAATCAATAAAATGCCGAAATTTGCTAAGAAAACGGAACGTCCTAGCGCTGCTCATCAGTCGCTCCACATTTGGTCATCAAGGATAATAGGATATACGAGAAATTTATCTGTCAACGCATTTATCAGCACACCCCACCCTTGTCGAGCTATA